ACAACAAAGTATAGCTATTATCGACTGCTAACTTTTGGCAATAAAACTTAAATATATTTCTGATAAATTTGACATGAAGGCAGAAATTCAAGTTACAAATTAAATAAATTACAATTAGCCTCTAAAAAAAGGTATCTCCATAATAGGCGACTTTGCTCTATACCTATCAAATAAAATTTAATATATTTTACCGATTGAAAGAATTTTGTAAACAATAAAAAATTTTATATTTGTATTGAACGATCCACTCATATCTTTCTTAAATTTTGGGTTAAATTTGTCACATATTTGAGTTAATTTAACGTATGATTGTTATTTGGATATTTTGAATGAAATTAATATTCAATATTTCTTAATGTCAAAATAATATAATTTACGAGTAAGCGAACAAATAACAAAAAAATAATGTAATACATTCATATAGTTCAAATATATTAAAAATCTGCGCTCCATTTACAGCACCGTTACTCTCATTTGTCATATTATTGTTATTATATTATATAACATAAAGAGTATTTTAAAATATAAATTCTGCAGTAGAATTTCAACATTATCTTGTTTCGCATTAAACTTAATTTTTCTCGTTTTAAATATCAATAATTTGACAGTGGATCACCATTTCTTTTATTTCAATATGATTTTGTTCATTGACAACGCCTGCCTGTAACTGTATTGCAATTATTAACTTTAAGATTCAAATATTTTACGAATATAATCATTGATTATATCATTGTGGGATTCCTAGCGTTCACTGCCATCCAGCCTTTCAACTGAAGAGTTTACCTTATAATGGAGGAAATGGTTACCGCCTGACAATGATTTCGACCGGACAACAATTTACTGTAATTATTTCTTTTTCTTTTGGTTTGGACCGCAAGTAATGGATAACATCCTACTGTAATAAGTTTGTTTTGGCTGAAGAAGGCTAAAAGTTTAACCGAAACATGTACAAGTTAATTCTTTTTATTTGAGATAAAGTTTTTTCAAAGCAAACTGTGCGCCGTTTACAGAGCTAATTCCCAATTGCCTTTTTGCTAATTGCCAATTGTTTGTCACTTGTTTATACATTCTATGATAAATTTAACACATCATGAATGTTAATTTTTTTTATTAGAAATTATGAATTTTTACTTCTTTAATTATTTAAACAAATTATGTTTTTATATATCTGTTTTAATAAATTGCGATAATTAGTTTCCGAGAAATAAAAGGGTGTTTCTTAATATATATATATATATATATATATATATATATATATAAAATATGCAGAATGCAACTCATAACATTGTGTGTGGTTATAAGAATCTGCTTATTATACATATACCTTCCAATCCAGGTGCACATCAGGTACGCTGTGCATGTACTATATAATCGAGCAGCATCCTATAAAATTATGCAAAAGACTTCTGACGATATATTGCCGACGTTGTCATGTCGAAGTTATCGGAAAAAAATGAGCAATATGATCTACAGCAAGGTGGACATTAAATGGTCTTGTAGCTACCTTATATTTTCGTACAAAATTCAGACTGAGAGATGCAGATTCTAACATTACTTACATAAATGATTTTCTCAAAACTTATTAATAATATTTTTATCAAAAATTAAAATTAAAATTAAAAACACTTAATTAGCACCAAATGTAAACAATAAATACATAACTTTTATAGAGGAAAGTCGCCAATATTGACATAGGTCTCCTAAAGTGACACCCCCTTATTTCTCAGAAATTAACTATTGCACTTTATTAATACTAATAAAATCATGATCTGTTTAGCTAATTAAAGAAGTACAAACTCATTATTCGTATGTTTGTGGCTTGTTCCTATATTAAATCAGCTAAAAACGAATTCTATGAATGCGAAAATAAAATTCTTATGATTTTCTTTCGCAAATTGCGTGGTTTAAATAATAGTGACTATATTATTTATAATATTACGTCATTTTAAATACCTGTAGTTTCCGAAATAAGTTTTATTTATATTACTTTTTCTCTCAATCTTTTATAATACGATTTTTAATTTAAAATTGGGATGCAGCGTAAACCGCCACACTTGTCCGTAAAACAGACCATGAGCTAACTTAATCTTTATAATGTTGCTTTATAATGTCAAATAAGTCTATTAGAGCTGAAGGCAATCGTGCATATATGCACTGAGAAAAATGTCCGTTCAAAAAGTAACAAACGGATATTTCTGATTGATTTTGATCGGATTTATAAGACTATCCGATCAAATTTTAGGACTATCCGATCAAAATCAATCGGAAATATCTGTTTGTTACTTTTTGAACGGATAAAGCGTTCGAAATTTTTCTCAGTGTGGAACAACTCTAGAAAAATTACCGCATTACATATTGGTATCTTGCATAAAATAAATATGCATGTAATTCAATAAAAATGTTTTATAACGAAGTGAAAAGATTATGGAAAATCTTATGTACATTCACTTGTAGGTACTTTATACAGATAATGCTTGTAAAATGAAAAGAATATGAATACGTAGCATTACTGCCTACTGTGTCAGTTTTGGAGCCCATTTTGTCAGACGCTCATTTTTGCTTATCTTACGAAAATATTAATGATTGAAAAATTGCAAATAATATTATAAAAACTGCTTATACTATCTGATAGAAGACACTTTTCAGTTTGTAATTACGTTTTTAAAGTTTTATTTTTACTTTTTGTTTAAAAAATATTGTCTAAAAACAAAGTGGTATGTCGGTATCGGCGACTTTCCTCTACGTATTAATAATTTGATGAATTTCTCATATTGCTATAATATTTATAAGTATTACATAAATTTTATCGTTAAAAAATTACTATTTATATCAAAGTATTTAGTTAAAAACAAATACGTATTTAATTAAAAATACTAAATTAAGAATAAATTTTGTTTAATATTAAGTGTTGAACTTAATTCCTGCCGCTCGCTACTAGAGGGTGCTGGCTCCAACGCTGGCGAGTTTCGACGATGAAGTCATGTTTTCTGTAGTTTAGACATCACTGAAAGTGATTCAATCCTCACAGGTTAGATTTCTCAACGCCAGAGATTTTCCAATCAATTGAAAATGAATCGCGATAAGCTGTTTTTCCGCGACATGTGTGAAGAATCACTACTTCGACCTCAAGAAAACCGCAGCTGAAGCACATCGCTTATTATCGAAGTGTATGGTGATGAAACTCCATCAGAAAAAACATGTAGAGTTTGGTTTGAACGCTTCCGAAACGGTGATTTTGATGCGAGAGACAAAGAACGTTCAGGACAACCGAAAAAATTTGAAGATGTCGAGCTGCAAGAATTGCTTGATGAGAATCCAGCTCAAACGCTTTTAGAGTTGTCGAAACAGTTAAATGTTACTCCAAGGGTCGTCTCAAAACGCTTGCATGCCATGGGAAAGACCCACAATTAAGGAAGGGAGATGGCTACCACATGAGTTGTCAGAAAGTGCCATTTCGAATCGTTTGATTATTGCGACTTCTTTGCTTGTCAGGCAAAGAAAAGAGTTTTTTGTGGCGTATCGTGACTAGCGATGAAAAATGGATTTATTTTGATAATCCCAAGCGGAAAAAATCATGAGTGGACCCCGGCCAACCATCCGCTTCAACGCCGAAGAGGAATATTCA